CTCCCGGGAGCAGGGACTCGCCCGTGTGCAGGGCGGGCGCGGCGATGGGGGCCGCGTTCCGAGTTGGGTTTTGGGTGGAGGAAACCTGGGACGCGCCGTGTGGTCGGGAGGGCTGGGGGCGCCGAGGGAGTGCCGCGCCCGCGGAGCCACGTGTCGCTGACAGGGCCGCCCTTGGCGATGACAAAATACCATGGCAGGAAACCCAGGCTGCTAACCAGAGCCTTGTCTCGGGATGACAAACCACCTGCCATGTTCCCCTTACCTGGTGGCAAGAAATGGCAGGATGAGTTCATGGACACTGGGAAGAGAACGCAGACTGCCGTTCAGGCTCAGATTCAATGAACATATATCAGGAACCTTCTGCCTTCAGTGATGCTCTTTCTGAATCCTTTTTGTTATTTAGCTGTAACAATATTTAGGGGAAATGCATTAATTAGGTGTGTTGTCATGGGTTCAGGCGACGCGAACAGTGTCAGCGCCCTTACATCAGCCACCCACTGAAGAAATCGCCGGTAATCATTCACCATGGCCTATGGCTTGCCCCGGAAGAACACAGTGAAAACCATTCTGCGGGGCCGCTGTTATGACGTGTAAGTAATTTGAAGCAATGACCGGGGCGCAGAGGTCTTCGTTGAAATAATTGTATTGTACACCCTTATGCTTCCACATGAGATGGGATATATTGGATAGCATGAGGTTTTTTCAATTGTCTGGATTTTTTTTTAAAGAATTATTTATTTGGCTTTATTTATTTATTCATTTATTTTAACTTGACGAGAGAGAGAGAGAGAGAGAGAGAGAGAGAGAGGGAGAGAAAGAAAGCTAACCACCAGGTCCAGGACTTGAACTGTGTTCGGCCATGTGGGAGTGTCCAGCGCCTTAACCACCATACCACCTGCTGGTCCCCAGTTGTCTGGATATTGACTTTCTTTTTCTTTTCTTTTAGGTTTTTGCCATAGGGCATGTATGCTCACTGGAGGAGACAGAGACAGAGAGAGGGAACGTGAGGACCCCCTCCTCCTCCTTCTCTTGGGACTTTGGGCATGCACATACACTGCCTGACATGATTTTCAAGTGCTGAGTTTGAGGCTTGCGCCTCAGTCAGCCATGTGAGAATTCAACACCTCAACCAACACACACCTGGTGGCCCCTCTTTTTAAAATTTTGCCAGAGGGTGTGTGCACTTACTGGAGGGAGACAGAGAGAGAGAAGGAGAGAGAAAGAGAGAGAATATGCTTCCCCTCTCTTCCCACAAGGGAAATAGTCATGCAGTAATCCTTTCTCCTCCCTTCTCCTCTTGGGATTTTGATCATGCATGCACATATGACTGGCATGTTTTTCAAGCTGCTGGATGGCTCCAACTTCACAGTTGGTCATATGGGATCCAGCTCATGTAACCAACAGTTCACCAGGTGGCCCTAATTTTCTTTAAGGCTGTTGCTTTTATAAGAATGTATAAATGGTCTTAGTTTGTCTCTACTACAAAACGACACTTTGAATGAGAAAACTAATGTTCAGGGAAGGAGTTTGGTCACAGTCACAGTTATGTGCCAGAGAAATACCAGAGCTAGAGAGTCCGTCCTTTCCTTCCTTCCTTCCTTCCTTCCTTCCTTCCTCCCTCCCTCCCTCCCTCCCTCCTTCCCTTCCTTTCTTTTTGAGAGATAATTTTGCTATAGGGAGTATACACTTGCAGGAGAGACAGAAACAGAAAGAGAGAAATCACCTCCAGGGGGGATGGTCCAATTCCTTCCCCAGTCTCCTCTTGGGATTTTGGGCATGCATGCACACGTGCCTGGCGTGAGTTCTAAGCCACCGGGTCCGGGACTTGAACCGCAGTTGACTACGTGAAAATCAAGCACCTTAACCACTATACCACCTGCTGGTCCTGAGTCTGAATCTTCTTAATTTCAAGATGACATTTTTTTGCTGTCATCCACCATCTTGAAATGCCTCTGTAGACAGCCCCAATCCACTTAAAAATACCCTGGTATCGTATATATCTAAACAGAACACTAACTGGCTGCTCCAAAGGGTTGGTCAACTAAATTTTTATTTTTTAACAGTATTCTAAGAAGTAAATGAGAGTTTCCTATAGGACTAAAAACCAGAAAACTCATCACTGTATTTTGTTTAGTTTTGTTAGTTTAGTATGTATTTAGACCTATAGGCAAGAACCATTACAAGTGTCATTATAAATGTAATTTTATTGAATTGCCAGGAGACATGTATGTTCATATGAGAGAAAGAGGGACCTGCCATGGGGTATGGTCACTCTGCAATTCCTTCTCTATTTCTCCATCCTGTCAGGATTTGGGACATACATGCACATGCACCCAGTATGATTTTCAAGTTGCCAGGGCTGGCCAACCATGGGGGATCTGGCTCCCTTAAGCACCAGGGCTGGACCATAAACATAATTTTCATACAAAGATATTCCTTATTTTGGAAAATTATTTAAGTTGTCACCAATTACATTGTTTTTGGTTAAATAGAATTTTATGCCATGAATAATCTCTGCAAACCTAGGACTTTTTCTTTTACTTCTCAGTAGAGTATTAGATATCATTTAAGAACAACTGAGTTAAAGGACCAGCAGTTAGTGTAATGGCTATATCACTGGACTCTCATGTAGTCGACTGTGGTTCGAGTCCTGGACCCGGTGACTTAAACTCACGCTGGCTGCGTGTGCATGCGTGCCCAAGATCCTGAGAGGAGAATGGAGGAGAAGGGATTGAGGCATGGCCATCCCCCCTGCGGGGGAGGTGATTTCTCGCTTTCTGTCTCTTTGTCTTTCTGGTGCGTGCACTCGCCCTATAGCAAAAACCTCTCCAAAAAAAAAAAAAAAAAAAAAGGAACATAATGGTAGTAGCAAATGAAATGGAGTTCATTTGCTAGGGTAGCTTTTCCCCTTAGGCTTTGTTTGGTTGAGTTTTTAAAGGGTTATAAAAAGGGGCTGACAAAAGGGTGCTGGACTCCCACCTGGTCGACTGTGGTTTAAATCCCAGACCTGGAGACTTGCTTTCTTACTTTCCCTCTCTTTCTCTAGAAATATTAAAATAACAATAATAAAGTTAAATAAAATAATTATTTAAGAAAAGGTTTTAAAAATTATACACTAAAAATATTTGAACAGTATAAGAGCATATGGCAGGGAGACAAAAATGTTCCCTCTTACATCTCCGTTCCCACCTCAGGCCCCT